ATTCAAACTAATCTAAACTTGAATTTGAGCAAAAAATAAAAGAATGAATTTTAACTCTTAAATTATTTGAGGCTATTTTGTTAAACAAATGTGTTTTGTCTCTTAAATTAATTGAGAAATTAATCATAACTTGAAATCGTGCTTCTGACTAAAAGTTTTAGAAAGCTAGTTTAGCCAAATACCACCATTTTCTTCTTGAACAACAAAAAGAACCTTGGAGATACTTTTGTAGTATTGAAATTAATTCTTAAGAACGTATTTTTGAAATTTATAGTCCCTTTTAAAACAGTCTCCAAAGAAGCAATGTTTCTAGTGAAATCAACTGAGTGCTTTGTTATGCAAAATAACATGTCACTCTCCATAATATAGAATTTCTAAATGAAAATACACTGAAATCTTGACTTCAAAACCTTAAAAATGCCTGCTTGGCTGACCCTCTTTGAGAGAGGGAACATCCTAACTAAAAGGAAGGTGTATAGGTTTTGCTTTGGATAGTTCTCCCAGCTGCATGTTCACTGATGAAGCCACTACACATGCTTGTTCTTCCCTTCTCCAAGAAGATGCATGACTCAAGGCAAATACAGCACTTGGTTCCCTTTGCTACTCCCTCAAACACCTAGGGATTTCCATGTGCTTTGTCAGGAATGGAACCAAGAGCTCAACGTTGCTAAATTAAAGGCTTCCTCCTCTTCCCTCTTCATATCATCTGTCTGAAACTACTGTCCCCCACAAAACACACACACACTCACACCCATTGTGTACACACCCCACTGAATCAGAGATGACACACATAGCTCAAATAATATCCTCTAACAACTGTGACCAATTGCTCATCTACTTTTGAGGATTTCATTAGCTGACTTGGAAGAGTGATTCAGCAGTAGAGAGCAAATATTTAGAAAGCTGAAAGTATCAAATGTATGTAAATAGTTCCTGCAGAAAATGGATTTTTATAGCTTTTTTATTTTAATGTGCCCTGGTTGCACATTTTAACATTTACATTCTCCTACTTGAAAATCTAGAGCAACCACCACAAACCAAGACATTTACTCAAAATTATCGTAAAACTATAGTTATACAGTAAAATTATAATTGTGATAAGCTATTAGCTCTAAAACTTCTAACACCCCCTTAAAACTCTTTCTTAAAGAAAATATTTTAGATTATGACGTATGAAAAGATGTACAAACACTGTTAAGCCCTCTCCTCCATATAAATGACAATCTCAAGTTAGCATATAGTTAAAAAAACAAATTCTAAGACCATTTTTTTTTTACTGGTCATCTTATATACAATCAGGAAACATTATTATTAAAAAACATAATTTGACCGATGTATTACACTACCAAATCACCTTTTAGTTTTAATGCTTAAGTTTAGTCCTTTAATATTTACATAAACTATTACAATTTAAAACTGATATAGATTTAGTAAAAATCAAGCAGTATAAAAAAATCTTTTGATTTGCAGATTGTCTTGGTTTCAATATTTAACTAGATACTAAAACACTATCAAATGATCAGTCTTTTAAAAATACAAACTAGCATCTTAAATTTATATTTATATCTGAATTACCAAGTTACCAAGTGTTTTCTCTAGTTTCTATTTTAGTTCTGTCATATATCTCTTAAAGATCACAAAAAAAATATGTGTAATTCTCTATAGCATTATCTAGAATAATGGAAAAATTATTAGCCTTTACAAAATGAAAAGCTAAATGTCCAAAGCAAAGTCATATCAAAAGTAACCTTAGGGTCTGACAAGCATATCTGCTATTAATATATCCACATATGAAATCGTATTGAATCCAGGCGTTAATTTATAATTGAACAAATTCTTGAAATGGGACGTTGCTATATGGTTTTAACCTAATAAAGTCTTTTCTGTTTCTACAAAATTAAAAATTGATGCAGCAAGTCTTTGTTGCAGGAAAGGCTTGAGGTTGGGTGGGTTTTTTTTTTTTTTCTTTTTGGTATTTAGTTCAACTATACACAATGTGGTACATACAAGCAAAATACAATTGAGATACTGTTTTCTTTAACATTCCTATAGGAGACCAAATTCATTTGCATTAGAGAGACACAATTACTGATTTTTAACTCATGAAAGACAAATTCATAGCTTTTTCCTTCAGTATTTCATAGTATTCACACCATCTCAGTCTAGCACTACTTCAATACTTCCTAGAAGTGGGCAGAAATTGCATTTTTCAAAGTTTTGTTTCTCACAGTCATTCAACTTTAGTTCAAAACACATTCAGGTTTGTGTCTGTCTCAATCTAACCAATTAATGTAATGTGTGTGTATGGAGATACACATTTTTTAAACTAAACACCCATCAACATGGAAAAAATTGAAATTTCTATCAAGGAAATTTCCATAATTTTAAAGAGAATTTTAAAACTTACCAGTTCTTTCCTCTTTAAGAAATCTCTGATTCATATATATGGCAAGAAGTATGAAGAGAGAAAAAAAGATCCAAAGATTTTTTTATTCAACAGAGCCTACAACCAACTTAAAATAGCTGGCTTTACATGGTTTACATTACAATAATTTGCATTTAACAGGAATGAAATGCATGGCAAAAAGAAAAGCATTTTCTACTTCAGAGTGACCCTGAGAAAATAATAATATCCAGTCTGTTTACTATGAAATGATGCTAGAATGATACTTAACAAGAAACCAAACTGATAAGCGAAGGGCATGCCAATAATTTAATAACTGAAGATAAGAACATCTCCTAAAGTATCATTAGTTTAAACAAACTATTTGGAATGTAGATACTACAACTGATTTTGAGAATAGAAAGTAATCAAAACACTATAAAGAAAATGAGCATTCTGGTTGAATGATTTTTTTAAGCAACTCATGAGAATGAATTGTTTTCTTCTCCTTTTCACTTCAACTAACACAAAAACCACATATAGAACTGACTTAACAGTGACAAATTTACTTCTAACTTGTTAATTTTCATAGAAATGCAAGAAAAGACACCAGAACAGTCACCATATAACATAACAGCTTTGGATTCAAATGTCCCATTACCCCCCTTTTTGAAAGCCACCACGGTAGTAGTGCCCTGAGAACATACAGCTGCTCATCCCAGAAGCCTGAGCTCAGCATACGACACCAGTCACTAGCTATCTCTCCCTTAGTACTCAGTACAAGGAACTCATTTCTGCATTTTAAACTAATAAAGGAAAGGAAAAAAAGATTAAAAACATTCAATCAGAAATGATGCAACCCTCCACAGCAGCAGCTATACATACACTGGGCATGCCAGAGGTCCTCACTGCAGTGAATCACAGAACACATTGTAATCTACTTCCTAGGTATTTATACTGCCCACATGTTCAAAGAAATCATGTACTAATAGTGCTGTATAAACCCCAGATTGGTTTTTATTTAATTAATACCACAAATCTGAGACATGCTTTTAACTCTGAACTCACACAAACACCAAAAAGAAATCCAGCTAACAGCAAATAATCTCTATATTTTGAAAGAAAAAAGTTTAAAAAGTGTATTTTGTGAGAAGTTTTACAAGATGTCAATAACCTTAAATAAACTAGTATTTCACTTTAATTGCAACATTATATGACATTCTTTGTAATATGAAATGAGACATCAACTGACCAAAGTTAAACTTCTAAAGTTTATGCTAATTAAAAACCTCCTCCCCCCCCCCACCAAAGGACAGCTATGAAGCCAAGAGAATTAGACATTTACAGAAACATAAACCATGAAATATTTTGGGCAGTTTTCAAACCTTATTCAAGATACTCAACAAATTTTCAAGTGTTTTGAGACAAGTAATCTAAATGTACAATAAATACCTAATATGTCAGAAAGTTTCTACTTAGGTTTCTCAAGAAAAAAAATAAGTAACAAATTTTGAACATTTAATTGGACAACCAATTAATCATACACTAACCTTTTCCTCGAGGTTCTATCCAGCTTAAATATTTTCTTGTTTGTTAACTTTTATCTTGTTTTTTTTTATAAGTATTAAGTAGTTTTCTGATATGCCAGCCACTTGCAAACAAAAGATATTCTGTTGCTTAATTAAAATGTATCTGGAAATGTACAAACACGTACTTTTTGAAAGTCCCTTCAACAAAACATCTAAGTATTTATAAAATTAGGATAGCTTGACTAATGGTGAAGAAATGTATGTGAATGGGATAAAAAATAAATTATGAGTGGAGGGGGGGTTAGAATGAGTAATAAAGGGCCCAAATTTAAAGTCCACAATAAACTTTAAACAAAGATGTTCTCCCTCATTTTTTCTTCATAGACTGTCTCATGAAAGCAAATCACTGCAGAGAAATTCAACCTCCACAAAAATTTTCACCCCTCATTAACAACAGCACGCTTAAATATAACTATAGAGCTCACTGTGGTATTTGTTTAGCATCAAACACATCTTAAAAGCAACAACAGAACGCTCAGAAGCAAGGTTCAGCAGTCTCAGCGACTGAAAGTCTGCCTTTTAACTGCCTTCCAAGCCAAACAACCTACTTCTTTAGAGTGCAATGCAAAATACTGACCCCCTTACTGAATTATTTTATTATTCAACATAAAGCTATCTAAAAAAGAAAACTAATTAATCGCGAAGTTTAGTTAAGCAATTTAGCTGATACAGTAAATATTTACTCTTAACATCTCACAGGAAGTCTTGACAGCATTTGTTGCCATTGTGCTTAGAATGGGGGTAGGAATGGGGGGTGGGAGGCCAGTTTTGATAAACAAGTTCGAAGGTCCCAGCGAATCTGAGTGCTCGCAACCCCCCACTCCCAATAAGGCACCAGATATTTTCCAAGTACAGTAAACACCTTATATAACGAAAGTAACAAATGTAACCTTCTAAGCTATCTTATCTCCGCTAACAAAACAAACAAGTCTTTTTTAAATTATAAAATCACATTTTTATAACTCAGTGTTTTTTTTTTTACTTACAGATAAGCCCAATCACAAAATAACTGAGCAAAATATATTTACCTGAGCTTTTTAGAGACTGAGTAATCAACTTCCATGATTTTCCCATGCAATTCCACTTTACCTTTAAAACAGAAATTAAAGCACTCAGAGCCTTCCTTAGATCAAGCCCGCGGGGGTCTAGGAAGGGCACGCACGGAACTCCACGCTCGGGCTCCGCCTGCGGCCGCCCTCAAGGGGTCTCCCGTCCGGCTGGAGCTGGGCAAACTTGGTTGGCACGGGAGGAAAGATGGGCACCCGTTTCTCCGGAGGAGATGGGAAGGGTGCGAGCCCGATCCGCCGACCCCAGGTATATCTGTGGGTGGCATTACCGGAAAAACACATTTAATAAAGAGCGGCGCCAATTTGAAAGGATGAGCTCACTTGAAACTCAAGCTGCAAGGCTGACGGGACCCCACTCCACTCTGGACCCCCACCTCTATTCCGCTAACCCCCGACCCGAAGACTCCACCGAGTTCCCCTCTCAGCCCTCTCCCCGCTCTGACTCCCAGAATACGCGCCGAAGCCCCCGGGGTCGGCGGCTGCGAGAACCGGGTCCCCGCCGGCTTCTGGGTGTCACCTTGGCCTCGGCGCCGCCCCGCCCCCACCTCGCGCACCCGTGGAGAAGGGGCTACCACCCGGAGGGGTTGGGGGGCTCAGGCTCGTGGCCTAGGGGAGCTCGGCTCCGAGCGGTGCGTGTGCGAGAGGGAGAGTTGGGGAGTGCGCGCGCGCGCGAGTGTGTGTGTGTCGCTCTCCGTCTCCCGTCTGGGCTCCAGCGCGCTCGCGGGCCCCCCGGTCGCCTCTTTCCCGGTTCTCAGCCCGGGCCCCCACCGAGTTGAGACAGGGCACCTCGTAAAAAGGTGCTTCTGGCCGAGCGGGAGGCAGGGGGACAGGCGGCGGAAAGCCCCCAGCCCCGAGTTCTTCTCAATAAAATCGGACAAAAAATTCAGAGAAAAATAGGAGCGCTTGAGAGACGAGCGAGAGGGGACAGGGGTTCCGAGAGGACCGAGAAAGATGTGCCGTCGTACCGGGGCTGGGCTTGGGGGGGGCCCGAAACCTAGGAGGGGTCATCAAGGTGCCCAGGGTGCCGAAAGTGGGGGGCAGGGGGATGCAATGGGGAGGGGGCTTGAAAGGAGAGTATATAGCTCAGGGTACGCTGGAGGGCGAGAGATCTAGGCACGAGGCACGGAAAGGAGTAAGGTCTGATCAGTAGAAGCGATGCAAGATTTGGGGGGGCCCCTGACACAGGGGGTAACGGGAAGGTCAGGGAAGAAGGAAGACAGGGGTTCTCTAAGTATGGGGGTGGGGGAACTCTGGAAGGCAGTTCGGGGAGCCAGGGAAACGTGGGGTGCCCCCAGAGAGGGAGCCTCGGGAACCCTCGGAGCGACACCGGGTCGCGATAGGGTTGCGTATCCGAGGGCAAGAGGTGATCCGGAGCCGCGGGGGGAGGGGAGCGGGCGGTCCCCCGAGCGGGCCGGCTGAGAGTTGAGGGCTGGTGCGTGGAAGTGAGCGTGCGGGCGCAGGAGCCCCAGCCCGGCGCCGCCCGCGGGGCTCGGCCTCCCTCCGGGCGCTGTCCCGGCCCGAGCCCGGCGAGGCGGGGGGAGGGGGACAGCGCCGAGTGCTCACCGGAGAGGGTCTCGATGGCGCGGATGGCCCAGTTCTGGTCGGGGTAGTCCACGAAAGCGTAGCCGGACTTGAGCAGGACCTGTCCCGCCAGGGGCAGCTTCCTGTCCCCGAAGAGCTGCCGGAGGTCGTCGGCGGTGACGGCGGGGCTCAGGTTCCCGATGTAAAGCTTGTTCATCATCCGTCTCTTCCCCGAAAGCCCGCGGCTCCCCCGGCCCGGTACCCAGCGCTCCTCGCC